GAATTCTTCTATTCTTTTAAGCCACTAGCACGCATAGCATTTCGGACTAGTCCTTAATATTAAATTTCCCGGGAATACGAACCGCGAAATCGTTTAACAACCAGGTACCCAATCACTGCTGGGTGAACAGAGGCATACAATTATGTACGCCTCTGTACATAATATCCGGTTCGTATCCGGTCAGGATACGAACCCAGGTCAAATTGCTGTAGAAGTGCGGGGCGAAGGATTTACCTGAGCCACGGGGACTGTAACTGTTCCACTGGATTGTTCATGGTCAGGGAATTAATGAGAGGAATGGCTTGACATGAAATGTAACCATGAATCTAACTATCGCTTTTGTTTTATCCTTTACATAATTATTTAGAAGGTTATGAAAAGCCAAGTTTATGGAAACCGAAGCTATGGGAGCTGAAGTTGAGAGAGACAAGACTGAGAGAGCTGAGGTTGTGAGAGACGAGACTGTAGGAGCTGAAGTTGTGGGAGCCGACGTTTTGCGAGCTTTATCCGTTTTTCTCATCCTCATATCGAACATAGACAAGGACACAATCTATAGTACTGTATCATCCATTGTAGATGACACGAGGATTTTTATGAGTGTAGACAACATAGAGGGCACGGCAAACCTCCAATCAGACGTAAATCAGGTCTTTTATGGGCTACAGAAAATAATATGGTGATTAACGAAGATTAGTTCCAGCTCAGGCGCTACGAAAAAAAAAACAAAATTTAAAAAACGGAAACCACATGCAAAACGCAGTCAAATCATGACATACAACGAAAAGGCAATGTAAAGGATTTGGGTGTATTCATGTCGGAAAACCATACCTTTAAAGAACACAATAAAGTTGCCGTCATAACTGCAAGGAAAATGACAGGTTGTATAACAAGAACCTTTCACACTAGAGATGCTATACCGATGATGATACTTTTCAAGACGCTGCTGCTCTCTAAAGTGGGATACTGTTGAACAATGACAGTCACTTTCAAAGCTGGATAAATTGCTGACCTGGAGAGCGTGCAGAAATCCGTTAATGCTAGAATCAACTCAGTAAAACATCTAAACTACTGGGACCAACTAAAATCCTATGTCTGTATTATTTTGAGCGCAGGCGGGAGAGATAGTAGGCATCCTTCAGTCTCTGAAGACGATGGAGTTTCGCCCTGACAGGGCGCAAAGCCTGGGTAGGAAGATATGGAGGAGAAGCTGTTACCCATGCAGCAGGTCCCCCCTCTCCACGTTGCTGAAATTATCCAGTAGAAAGGCAAATTCCAATTCACATGGTTCCAGCAACGTCGCAGGAGCTGCCAGAACGAAGTCGACGTCAACAATGAACTGCCTTAGGGGCTCCAACTCAGGATTTTTCCTCGAGGTTGACTCCTGAAGCCTTTCCCAAAAAAGGGGTATGGCTGTAAGGCAGCGGAGGTTTAAAATCAGGGTTTCCTTTCCCCTAGATGGGCTGCCTTTCCAGGCTATCGGGTCCCATCTACCCGGAGCAGCTGGTTTTAAGGCGCCAGAGGCACGCCCTCGGTAAAAGCAGTTCCGCCGGACTTGAAGACTAAGACACCCGTGCAGGCCAGGAGTTGGACTTGATTGTCAGAGGCTATTTGAGACGCATGCCGTATAGGAGCTTTTTATAGGTCATGTGAGCTCGTCCCCCCATTACCACTCCCTGGCTATGACAACCCCTTGGAACCACGGGAGAGATACATAATAATTTACACTTGGAAAATACTAGAGGGGCCACACCACATGAGACCAGAAGGCATGGCAGGATGTGCAGAATACCCCCCATTGAAAAGCAGAGGTGCAAAAGGTACTCTGAGAGAGAACTCTATCAACATCATAGGCCCGAGACTGTTCAACACGCTTCCACTACACATAAGGGACATAATTGGCTGACCCCTCAAAGTGTGGGAGCCGACGTTGTGGGAGCTGAGGCTGAGGAAGCCAGGCTGAGGGAGGTGAGGACAAGATGTGGTTATTGAGCTGGTCAAGGGGTTCAACTATATTCTCTGAACATGAGTTAAAATAGTTTGTCAATAATTATTAATATGTTAATAATTAACATATTAATCCGCCTCTTAGAACAGAACAAATATGCATCCAGAAACATCCCATCACTGTCCCCCTTCATTGTGATGAGTAAGCATAGATGATTATGATGGACATGTTCAAAGCCTTTACTGGTGGTGGCAGTTAAATCAGTAATTTACATCACTGTAAATAATAAATAAATACTTTTAAATAAACAGCACATATCTTGGATGCGTATGGAGGATCTGGTCAGTTTCACCTTGTTTCTACGGTTATCTGTGTAATACGAAATACTGAACAATTCTGGGGGTTTATGGGGGTTGTCTGACTATTATACATCATGAGGCATCTATTATTTTCCTAATGAATAAATACCTCCATGTTCTTTGTGCAACCCATCCTCTAGTTTACTTAGTATTTTTGGTAAGGCCATGGGCCATAGTACATTCATTGATATAATGGAGAATTAGAATGGAGAGTATAATACTATTCACTTTATTCCTGAACAAAATAAAGCTAAAAATCTAACTTCAATATTCCTCGGCCTAGTATAGCTAACATGTTTGCTAAACTAGGTGTAGTGGTATAGGGCGAGGGTTTGGGAGTACTAAGTGTGCAGGTTCGAATGCTCTTCATGGCTCCTACTGATTTTCTCCTTTATAATAACAAAGAGGAAATCGTTAGGAATCTGGAAGAGGATTCAAACCAGCACACCGGGTACTCCCAAATAGATGTTTAGACTACTAAACCACGACATGCTTAAACAATGCAACCTGAGATTCAGCTGAATACTTTAGGAGTTCTGAGGCTTCCCCTGGGACCAAGTCAGGGTTTCACACGTTGCGAGCATGCACTCTGGCTGTGGTATAGGAGTTCTACCTCCAACGTTTCAATTCCTCTTCATGTCTCCAACTGATTTCCTTATTGATACATAACATTAACGGGATTTATTTGAGCAATAATAATAATAATAATAATAATAATAATAATAATAATAATAATAATATTATTAATAAATTCATTCACCTGGGCTCAAGAAGACTCGAACCGAGGACCCCCCATGCGTGTGCGGCAGAATCTCTACCCACTCAGCTATGAGTAGTCTTAATAAGGAAGGATTGGTGAATGAAATGTTTATTTCCACGAAAGTGTGGATGACAATTTATATGACTTGGGCGTGGATCACTAATTCCTCTGAGCTTCAGTAGTAGTAAACAAATGGTGAAAATTCCAGCATATCAGCAGAAGTTGCTTCTGGAGTCTTTACTTATTAAGACTATTCATAGCTGAGTGAATAGAGTTTCTTTTTCTCATGCGTGGGGTCCGTAGTTCGAGTCTCCTAGAGCCAAGGTGAATAAAATGCTTATTTCGACGGTAGTGTGGATGACAAATTAATAATAATAATAATAATAATAATAATAATAATAATTAATAGGAAATTTACCGCAATGCCGTAGTGCTCACACATATTAGGTCTTTCATTTACCATCTATAATAATAACACACACAGAGAGTAATCCCACTAACGTGACTGAATCAATGAAAAAACCGTAGGAGTTGTATAAGGGTTCGAACCTATGAGGTGGGTGTTCCTACGCACATGCTCTGGACGACAAGACAACGACATGGAATAAGGATTGCAACCTGGAGTTCGACTGAACCCACAAGAGTTTCCTCAGGCATCCACTGAAGTATGACCAGGATTTTCACTCTATCCCTACATACACTCTGGCCTTGGCATCTGCCATCTCTCTGACGACATAGGTGACAGAGGCAGAGTGCATGGGAGGATTGTTTGAAAATCCACGTCCGGCTTCAGTGGAAATCTTAAGAAACCCTCATGCGTTCAATAAAACTCCAGGTTGCAGTGGTCTAGTCGAAGTACCATGTTGTGGTCTAGTCGAAGGAGGGTCGGGCGCCTAACAGCTGAGTGGACAGCACTTCGGGTTCGCAGTCCTGAAGTTCCGGGTTCGATCCCCGGTGGAGGCAGAGATAAAGGCTCAAAAAGTTTCTTTCACCTTTATGCCCCTGTTACCTAGCAGTAAATAGATACCTGGGAGTTAGACAGCTGCTACGGGCTGCTCCCTGGGGGAGGGGGGGGGGGTTGGAACAAAAAGGAGGCCTGGTCGAGGACCGGGCCGCGGGGGGTGCTAAGCCCCAAAATCATCTCAACATAACCTCAAGATAGTCGTCTACAGCGTGTGTGTGGGAACACCCACCGCATAAGGTGGAACCCTCATGACGGTTCTTACGGATTTTCTTAGTAATAATAATAATAATAACAATAATAATAATAATGCAGGAGATGAGTCACAATAACGTGGCTGAAGTATGTTGACCAGACCACACACTAGAAAGTGAAGGGACGACGACGTTTCGGTTCGTCCTGGACCACAATCGACTAGAGAATGCTCCAGGACGGACCGAAACGTCGTCGTCCCTTAACCTTCTAGTGTGTAGTCTGGTCAATAATAATAATAATAATAATAATAATAATAATAATAGTACTAATAATAATAATAATAATAATAACAATATTAATAATAATGGAAATCACATTGACGTGAAACGACTATGAGTGTGTGTGTGTGTGTGTGTGTGTGTGTGTGTGTGTGTGTGTGTGTGTGTGTGTGTGTGTGTGTGTGTGTGTGTTGAACAATACGTACTGAGTGGAATATTTTATTATCGCTAAGTGGAAATGTATTATTGTTCGCAAATGTTGAGGTCAAAGTTATATTGTTACTTATATTGTTGATATCATTCAGGAATAAATTTGTATGATACTGTAATTTTGTAAATAAAAGTGTTAACTATATTGCAGAATCCAGATTTTGTGGTCATATGAGGCCAGAACTTGTTAAATCTTCAAATCCAGGACTCGGGTGTTTACCAGCCTGACTACTTAGATATCTTTGTTTACGTCTGTATCATCATAATTGGGTACATGAAATAAGACGCATAATAGCCTGATATTAATTTATTTGTCAAAATATTAAAATATTATTATATTAAAAATATGTATGAGAGTAGTTGAAGTAATATGGGTCAGGTAGAAATTTGTCATCTCAAAAATGATAGGTTAGGATTTGTGGGAGATTTAGAAGGAGTCCAAAGTGTCATCGTAGCCGGATATTTTCACAACGAGCGTCACCATCAGCAGCTTCCTGGGAGGCAAGTCACTATCGTTACTTGCCGTACCCTGTAGATGAAAGACAGAAATATTGTTAATTGGGATGGCAACTTCTCGATGACATGGTTTCTTTAGTGCTACAATAACTGGAAATATAGTGGCAGATCTGTATGTTATAAATCAATTTGTACAGAAACGGAAGAAAACAGTTCAACTCACCTCCTCCTATTCCTCCTCCAAACCCACCGCCTCCTGGAAGGATAATAATGCATCAAAACAACTCATGTAAGTATCGGGAAGGATCATTAGTTTGAAGCTTAATAAAAGGTATTCTTGTTTAACGTTATTTCTCCCGAAATATTATAATTGTTTATATAATTTATTATGTTTTTTGCAGAAAATAAAAATTTTACTCGAAGATCGGGTTAAAATGAAAATAACATTTACCTCCATGTCCTCCACCCCCACCAAAGCCTCCACCACCACCGAAGCCTCCACCGCCACCACCAGGGTGTCTACCACCACCACCATGGTGTCCGCCACCACCGTGGTGTCCTCCACCACGACAGCAAGCTGCAGCGTCGGTGTAGGCAGCAAAGGTGGCCACCAGGACCAGGACTAATAGAGAGCGCCACTCCTGTACAGACACGTGAGTCGCAGATAAGAGTGTTGTACTCAAAGCGAACAGTTCTTGTTAGCAAATAAAAAATAATGTTTAGTAAATTTTTCATAAAATAATGATAAGTAAGGAACTGACTGGATTGGGATTCAGCTGACTAAATACAAATATAACATTATTAACTATCGCTGTCTACTATTTTCTTAACTCAAAATAAGAAAGAGAGATAAGAAGTGACAGAGAGAGAGAGAGAGAAGGGGAAGGCAATGACGATCTTACCATTGCTGTAGGAGGCGGGACAACTGACCCCCAGAACCAGGCTCCTTCTTATATAGCGTCGTCCTACAAACTGATTGACACACACTCGTGACCGCCCTCACCACCACGAGTCACTTCAGTAAACATCGGCAAAGGTGAAGGAACAGGTGTATTGTTTAATACCTGGAACAGCAGCTTCCTGTTCTTGTCCTGGCGGAGCTGCTGGTAGTCCCCCCTTTCCCGCAATTTATGTTCCACTGTACACTTTATATATATATATATATATATATATATATATATATATATATATATATATATATATTTATATATATATATATATATATATATATATATATATATATATATATATATATATATATATATATATATATATATATGTGTATATCACGACCTTCTGAAGATGTATTTAATATACGAAAGTACTTAAGGAAATTTCCTGTTTCATTTTTCCTCCGTGGTCTGACATTGTCATATATATATATATATATATATATATATATATATATATATATATATATATATATATATATATATATATATATATATATATATTTTGGTAGCAGTCTTTCCTGTAGACATATATTATTAAATATGACCGAAAAAGTAAGATTAATAATTCTAACACGAATTTTCTCAATCTTTCGTACATTACGCTTCACTGTTGGAGGTAAATCAAAAATCACTTCTCCAAAATTCATTTTTATTTCTAGTCTGACGCGACACGGGCGCGTTTCGTAAAACTTATTACATTTTCAAAGACTTCACAAATACACAACTGATTAGAACTTGCGTTTCCCTGATTTTATATCTACATTTGAGTGAGGTGGGAAGGGTGATGTGGCATTACATTTGAGTGAGGTGGGAAGGATGATGTGGCATTAACACAAGACAGAACACTAGAGGATATTAATAGGGTATTAAAAGTATCAACACAAGACAGAACAGAAACAATGGGTATTGAATAGAAGTGTTTGTAGAGAGCCTATTGGTCCATATTTCTTGATGCTTCTATATTGGAGCGGAGTCTTGAGGTGGGTAGAATATAGTTGTGCAATAATTGGCTGTTGATTGCTGGTGTTGACTTCTTGATGTGTAGTGCCTCGCAAACGTCAAGCCGCCTGCTATCGCTGTATCTATCGATGATTTCTGTGTTGTTTACTAGGATTTCTCTGGCGATGGTTTGGTTATGGGAAGAGATTATATGTTCCTTAATGGAGCCCTGTTGTTTATGCATCGTTAAACGCCTAGAAAGAGATGTTGTTGTCTTGCCTATATACTGGGTTTTTTGGAGCTTACAGTCCCCAAGTGGGCATTTGAAGGCATAGACGACGTTAGTCTCTTTTAAAGCGTTCTGTTTCGTGTCTGGAGAGTTTCTCATGAGTAGGCTGGCCGTTTTTCTGGTTTTATAGTAAATCGTCAGTTGTATCCTCTGATTTTTGTCTGTAGGGATAACGTTTCTATTAACAATATCTTTCAGGACCCTTTCCTCTGTTTATGAGCTGTGGAAAAGAAGTTCCTGTAAAATAGTCTAATAGGGGGTAACACCTATACCCCCTATTAGACTATTTTACAGGAACTTCTTTTCCACAGCTCATAAAACAGAGGAAAGGGTCCTGAAAGATATTGTTAATAGAAACGTTATCCCTACAGACAAAAATCAGAGGATACAACTGACGATTTACTATAAAACCAGAAAAACGGCCAGCCTACTCATGAGAAACTCTCCAGACACGAAACAGAACGCTTTAAAAGAGACTAACGTCGTCTATGCCTTCAAATGCCCACTTGGGGACTGTAAGCTCCAAAAAACCCAGTATATAGGCAAGACAACAACATCTCTTTCTAGGCGTTTAACGATGCATAAACAACAGGGCTCCATTAAGGAACATATAATCTCTTCCCATAACCAAACCATCGCCAGAGAAATCCTAGTAAACAACACAGAAATCATCGATAGATACAGCGATAGCAGGCGGCTTGACGTTTGCGAGGCACTACACATCAAGAAGTCAACACCAGCAATCAACAGCCAATTATTGCACAACTATATTCTACCCACCTCAAGACTCCGCTCCAATATAGAAGCATCAAGAAATATGGACCAATAGGCTCTCTACAAACACTTCTATTCAATACCCATTGTTTCTGTTCTGTCTTGTGTTGATACTTTTAATACCCTATTAATATCCTCTAGTGTTCTGTCTTGTGTTAATGCCACATCATCCTTCCCACCTCACTCAAATGTAATGCCACATCACCCTTCCCACCTCACTCAAATGTAGATATAAAATCAGGGAAACGCAAGTTCTAATCAGTTGTGTATTTGTGAAGTCTTTGAAAATGTAATAAGTTTTACGAAACGCGCCCGTGTCGCGTCAGACTAGAAATAAAAATGAATTTTGGAGAAGTGATTTTTGATTTACCTCCAACAGTGAAGCGTAATGTACGAAAGATTGAGAAAATTCGTGTTAGAATTATTAATCTTACTTTTTCGGTCATATATAATATATATATATATATATATATATATATATATATATATATATATATATATATATATATATATATATATATATATATACGTGCTTCGTCCCCTATTCTCCCCTATTTATCCCCTTGCCTTTTCCTTTATTCTTCTTGTTTTCTCACCTGACCCCGTACTGGTATAAATCTAACGAGATCTGTATTTTCTTATCACTTGAGAATGAACCATATAAATTCGAAACTTTGCAATTGTGTAATAAGTGTAATACATTCTATAGTAATTCACTCTTTTTCACCTTGAAAAACGAACATGAGTTTTGGAGAACTTCTCTTTCTACTAAACCCTGTTGCAAGAATAATAGTTAGAGGGATAGAAACCCTAAATCAGAAGATATTAAATACAGAATATGCGGTCATATACAATGAAACATGTTTAAAAGAAAACCTGCTGCCAGTATACACCAATATAAACCCACATCACCCAGCAGTCCGCAACGCAGAGTTTACCTATAGGTATAAGAAAGATCTCATACGGCATCAACTTAACACGAAGAAGGAAGCCCTGCAAACTCTTACAGAGCAAGCTGAACATCAGTTAAACAAATGGACTCAGTACGACATCCTCAACCAACTCAAGCAAACCATTAACAGTGAACTATTTGACCTGAAACAACAACTCAAAACTCGTGTAGAAACGAAGACTCTCCGTAAGTTAACAGTCCTAAATGGTGGACAGTTAAAGATCCCTTGTCCAAAAGATGGCTACATTAATCTGACTTTTTATGATCTTACCCAGGACCAACGAGACCTCTTAAATCTTGGTCTAAATTGTCAATTCATATCTAAACCAAAGAAGCATAAAAAACGCCTGGAAATCGAAGTGTGTCATCACCACTGACACACTTCAGGCAGAACTACTAACAGAACCCGAGAAAAAACGTGGGACATACTCATCAACAATCTTAACCCCACGACTCAAAGAAGCAGCAAAACAACTAAAAAAGCTGGAAGATGTAACAATAAGAAAAGCCGACAAGACAGCAGCATATGTGTTTATTTCTACCCAAGAATACATGAATAAAATTAGCAACATCCATAGTGATGACACTAAATTTCAACGAATCACGAGGAACCCTGTGGAAAACCTTAAACTCAAAGTGAACAAAACTATTACTGCAATCAACGTAAAGAAAGGTAGTGTTCATTTCACTAAACTTCAGGGCGACTATTGGCTTAGGATATGCTAATGGCAATGTTAAGACACACAAACCAGGTAACCCACTACGTCCAATAATCAGCCAAATACCAACTCCAACCTATCACCTGGATAAAATACTTAATGAACTCCAAACTCCATACACTCCAAGCAACTAAAGTCTACAACCATCAGCAGATTGATGATTGATTCGCTAATTTTTACAAGGGAACCATCGAAGATAGTCTTCAGTAGTAGACAAAAACCAACTGTATACTGCCGTTACGTAGATGACATATTCGTCATAGTAAAAGACTCAGATGAACTAATTGGTCTAAAAAGCCATCTAGAGAGAGAGAGAGAGAGAGAGAGAGAGTCAGTACTCCGATTTACACATGAAAATAGTGAAAATAACAGTCTGCCATTCTTGGATGTACTAATAACAAAATCAGGAACCTCTTTCAGCACCAGCGTATATACGAAATCTATAATGCCTTTGACATCAGATTGGCGTGAAATCACCAGTGGAGTCCCACAGTGCCCTGTACTCGGTCCTATCCTGTTTCTGGGATATATGTGAATGATCTCCCAGAGGGTATAGACTCATTTCTCTCAATGTTTGCTGGCGATGCCAAAATTATGAGAAGGATTAAGACAGAGGAGGACTGCTTGAGGCTTCAAGAAGGCCTAGACAAACTGAAGGAATGGTCGAACAAATGGTTGTTAGAGCTTAACCCAAGCAAATGTAATGTAATGAAGATAGGTGCACGGAGCAGGAGGCCAGATTCAAGGTATCATCTGGGAGATGAAATTCTTCAAGAGTCAGTGAGAGAAAAAGACTTGGGGGTTGATATCACGTCAGACCTGTCCCCTGCAGCCTATATCAAGAGGATAACATCAGCGGCATATGCCAGGCTGGCCAACATAAGAACGGCATTTATAAACTTGTGTAAGGAATCATTCAGAACTTTGTATACCACATATGTCAGGCCGATCCTGGAGTATGCAGCCCCAGCATGGAGTCCATATCTAGTCAAGGATAAGACTAAAATGGAAAAGGTTCAAAGGTTTGCCCCCAGGCTAGTACCCGAGTTGAGAGGAATGAGCTACGAGAAGAGACTACAGGAATTAAACCTCACGTCGCTGGAAGACAGAAGAGTTAGGGGGGACATAATCATCACATTCAAGATTCTCAAAGAAGTTGATAGGGTAGATAAAGACAGGCTATTTAACACAAGGGGCACACACGCTAGGGGACACAGGTAGAAACTGAGTGCCCAAATGAGCCACAGAGATATTAGAAAGAACATTTTTAGTGTCGGAGTGGTTGACAAATGAAA